GGGGCGGAAGTCTATAAGTGCGTCACGTTTCACGTGCTTAATAGGCCCGACGGGCCACCTCCCAGGCGGGAGGCGAATCTATGACACTCGTCATCGCATTTTTTTGAATTTTCATGCATTTTTCCTTTAAAATATCGTGTCAGGACCAATAAAAATTGAAAAATTCGAAGTTTTTTAAATTTTTTTTGCAATTTTTCATTTTTTTTTCTTCAAATTTCTGTTTAATTTATGTGTTTTTTGGTGTGGAATTTCCATGATTGTATAAGCTCGAAGTCTTTTCTCTCAGAACTTTCCGTTGGAAGTGTGAGAAACTGCAGTTCAGTGGCATCTCCACGTTGTTGCTTTTTCAATTCTTTATCTCATGTGGGAGTGTCAGTTCATCTTATAACGGTTACTTCCAAAAACATCCGTGTGTTACATTTATCTAATAGTCAGCTCTACCTCCTCATCTTTTCTGACAACATGTTCAAGAATAGTGCCGTGAGCTTTTTATATTCATCATCACGATCGCAGAGTTCGTTAGCGGTAGCGTTCCTGAACTCATGCTCAAGATGTACTGTTGTTCGCTGTTCCCAACTCTAGTAGAGGACTAGGTGATCCGTGATGAGGTTTTTCGTAAACTGCATGCTGTAAGCCAATGTCTTTCACATCCGCTTGCTTCGACGTTTTCACCAATCGAGCTTTATGCTCCTGCCGATAAACTCAAACACTGTCTTCTTACTTTCCTTCGAGTTTCACTTCCCACATGTTTTATTGTTATTGTCGTGTTGTTTTTCAAGTTCCATCAGACTCATCCGATGGAGATTGAAGCAGTGGGTCTATTAGTTGAGATTGCTTGTTTTTCTCTGTTTGCTTCCGTTCGGAAAAACTTTTCGTTTTATCCCATTCCTCTCCCTACCATTGCTCTCTCATGTTCACAACTGTCATACCTGTAACCTGTACCGGCATTTTTTATTTTTGACGTGATCAGCGTTGTGAGTAGTCTAAGGCATTTTTTCCTGTACCTGTACCTGCATACCTGTAGTTTCTACTTGTTTTAAAAGAGAATTCAATTCTAATCTTCCAGAAAACCATTTAAAATGTAATTAAAAGGTTTTAAATACAATAAAACTTGATTATACCATATATGCACGAAATACAAAACGTACGATGTACGGGGCGGAAGTCTATAA